CTAACTCAGGACATACTCACCATTTAAGAATGTCTTTTGCTGTCAGCAATAGGAACATCACGGGAACTGAATAATCAAGGATATTTGTCACTTAGGAAATGATAGGTAAAGGGAAAAGGAGACTGGGCAACTTTCTTAACAAGGGACAAGAATTAATACATTAGTAAGAGAGAATAATCTTGTACCTTTAATCGGAGTGTGTCAGTTTGGGTACAGCTAAGAATCAGCAAGGGGCAGCAACATTGATGGGATTTATTTAGTTCCACTGTTAGGTGACTCTAATATTGGACAAAGGAGAAATTAGAAAATTATAAAGTGCATGTAACATGGGCAATATATAGACTGGACAAATCCAGTGGTTCAAGGCAGCTCACCACCATCTTCTCAAGGACAATTAGGTGTAGGCAATAATTGCTGACCCAGCCATTAATACTCTCACATCCTGAATAAAACGAAACTTGAGCTACATCTGGGCCGATCCAAAGGTTGCCTTTAGAATTTTTAATTAACTCAAAAAGGTGCCACTCCCTCAATATGTACCCCACTCCTTCAAAAAGCAACAGAATCTGGTGCTGCTAGAACGTACATCACAGTCCCACTTGTTCTTCAGTTTGCAAAAACACTCCTGGTACTTTTACCAAAACAGCAGTTTGACTTGCACGTTCCAGTTTATAAACCTAGAGGGAAAAAGTGCGGTCCTTTGCATGCTATACAAGACACAGGTTAGGCCACAGCTGGAGTTGTGTTCAGTTCTAGTCACCTTTTTCTAGACAGTACAAAGAAAACTTGCAGGAATGTTGGCACAGCTCAAGAATTACAGGCATAAAGGAAAGATTGGACAGGCTAGAGTTATATTTCTTAGAACAGAGGCAGCTGAGGGGTGACTTTATTAAGGTATAGAAAATAATGAGTGTTTGGATAGAGTGGACAAGCAAAACTTGCTTCCCAAGCAGAGGAACACAAATTCAAGGTCATGAGTAGAAAGACTAGATATTTTCCACCTAGAGGGTGGTGGGTGTCTGGAATCTGCTGCCCAGTTTTGTTGTCAAGGCAGAAGCCATCTACTCATTTGGAAGGAACTTGATCTAAATCTGAAGCGTTGTAAAGGGTGCGACTCAACAGATGTGGCTTCAATGTTTCCTGGCTTTGGTTTAGGGAGGGCGTGTTTGTCTAAAACTAGGAGACAGTCAGAATAATGAACAAGTTGTTTCAGGCTGAGATGAGGAGAACCATCTTCGCTTAGCAAGTGGTGAATCACTGGAACTTTGTGTCACAGGCTGGTGGGGGCTCAGTCACTGTGCAAGTTCAAAATACAAACCGGTAGATTTCTAAATGCAAATGACAATCAAGGAACGTGCAGGAAAGTGACATTGAGCTAGATGATCAGCTACAATCTAATTAAATGCTGGGCTCGATGGCCTGAATCGACTTTCTGATCTGATGTTCCTTAGGAAGGAGTGAAGAGAGCAGCAGTAAAAAAGAGAAGCAGAATGAAATCAGCTCCCTATGTCAGACTCCCAGCAACATATGATATGAAAAGTTCACCTAATGAACAAGAACAATATTCAATACAAATCCCTTTGTTAATAATGAAGCACTGGTAGATAACTGCCAGTGTTTCACGTATGTGTCTTCATAGTCCTGTTGATGCACCCTTTTGAGCCTCCTATAACCTTTAAATTCACATTGCCCCCACTCTCAGATATATGAAATATCTGATGATTCATCATGGATAAATCAGAACATGTAACAGCACCATCCTTTCCAAATCATTAGAGTCACAGAGTCAGAGACATACAGCACAGAAACAAACTCCTCGGTCCAATTTGTCCATGCCAACCAGGTTTCCCAAACTAAATTAGTCCCATTTGCCTGTATTTGGCCCAAATCCCTCTAAACCTTTCCTATTCATGTACCTGTCCAAATATCTTTTAAATGTTGCAACTGTACCTGCTTCTAGCACTTCCTCTAGCAGTGCATTCCACATATGCACCACCCTCTGAAAAAACTACCCCTCAGGTCCCTTCTAAATGATTCCCCTCTCACCATAAACTTATGCCCTCTAGTTTTGAAACTCCTCTAATTCAAAATGGGCAACAAGCAGCCTTTGAGAAATAAGCACAAACAGTTGACTGAGTTTTAAGGCTGTTTGATGAGGATTTGGGAACACAAAGCCTACTGGGTGAACAATTATGTTAAAAAGAGAATTTTCACTGAATGCAAAAACTCCGGACGTGACAAAACCAGCCAATGTGTACGTGATCACAAACCTTCTCCCAAATATTTATGGAAAACATGGAGCTACATGGTGCTATTGCAAGTAACAGGCATGACAGACTGAATATTTCATTTGCAAAATGATTGATATATATTACAGCATATTGAAGCATTACCCATGCCACTCAAAAGTAAACAAAAAATGACATCAGTCATTGCCATTACATCTCCAGCCTCTGTCAAATGGGAGTAGAGACCAATGCCTAATCACGGTCTCAGGACCTGGACATGCTTGGAGCTGAATTCACTTTTCGGGTACAATTTCTCTCAGTTCTTTTGAGTTCAGCTTCAGGTAAATCATAATCTGTTAATTAGCCAGTGAAATGGTTTAGGATGTGTTGGGTGAAGATACTTTTTTGGGACACTTGATGACATTTCAACCTATCGTCCGTCGATAATGTCAACAGGCACAGCCAAGAGCCCAGAATGCTGCTCCATAGAAAATCAACCGAGTCTCATTCCAGAATTAGTATCTCTTAAAGGTCTACAGGCAGCTTTGAGGAAGGATCAATCTCAACTCTCCCAGATCAAGAATCTGACCATCCTTGATTCAAATTCTGTTATAACTCCGAAAGAGAAAACACAGACAACAAAATACCCAATAAATTACATACTTTAATTTATACTAAGATACCAGATAGACTTTGTGATTATAGGTTCAGGCTTGGGTACCTTGACAATGCAGAAAACACAGTCAAACAGTGCATATGGTTACAGCTTACTTTTGAAGGCTGAATTTCTAATGATTAAGGACCCTATTTTCCCTTCCATCCCTCAACAGGATGTCACATCTCATTCCCAATCTCCTAATTTTAAAATTAAAATTCTGAAACCACACACAGCAAAGATTTAGCACAAATGGTCCCTTAAGTTTACATCAGCACAGTTACTACATAGGACTTAGACACAGCAACATGGTTGGATGAAATGCCATTGAAGCTGTACAGCAGACCCCAGCAAGAGAAAGTAATCACCTCAGTCGGACTGACTGCATTGTTCCAATGAATGTCAAACATGCTGCCTTTGTGTAATGTACAAACCTGAGAGCCATTTGCTGATATTACGAGACAAACAGCTGCATAACGTTCCAATGTCCACTATTTCAAGTGGAGGCATTATAAACGCAAAAGGAAATGTGACACAAGCAATAGTGAACAAAGGAGCATCATACAAAGACACTGAATACTCGACTAATAGTAGCAAATTTCTAGGCTACAAAGTTAAAATCCCATTAATTTGCAAACATCAAGCTGCTTACAATAGATCACAGTCTGCAAAGTTAAGACTGATCAATCAGTGATGCAAT